AACCTTCTCGGTACGAGGTCAAGAACGAAACATAGAACTCATAGTAATTTGAGGGGGGAGGAGAGGGGGGCCTGGAGGGGGGGGGGGGGGGTAGTTGGAAGGGGGGGGGGGGTGGTAGTGTTGGAGTAAAGAGCCAAGGGCAATGTGCTGCTTGATTCATTGGCCAGCCAAGTGAGCATGAAGCTAACCTTCTCGGTACGAGGTCAAGAACGAAACATAGAACTCATAGTAATTTGAGGGGGGAGGGAAGGGGGGCCTGGAGGGGGGGGGGGGTAGGTGGAAGGGGGATGGTAGTGTTGGAGTAAAGAGCCAAGGGCAATGTGCTGCTTGATTCATTGGACAGCCAAGTGAGCATGAAGCTAACCTTTTCAGTACGAGGTCAAGAACGAAGCATAGAACTCAGTCATAGTAATTTGAGGGGGAGGGGGGTGGGGAAGGGGGTTGGTGAAAGGGGGGGGGTGTTGGTAGTGTTGGAGTACATGGAGTATACATACATGTATGTACAGCCAAGGGCAATGTGCTGCTTGATTCATTGGCCAGCCAAGTGAGCATGAAGCTAACCCTCTCCGCTACGAGAACTTGGCATTCAACACAAACATAGTAATCAATACAGGAAATTAAAGGGGGCTCTCAACTTCCGTGTTTTTTGTTTGTTTTGTTTTACCAAAACCTCATGACAAGATTTGAAGGTGTGTATGGTGCAGATAGCAATATGATCAAGTTCACATTGCACCTTGTGACAATCTCTTTTATAATACAAACTCACAAAAGAGATCTGTTACGTGGCGAAACGCAGATCAGTACCTCCTTCTTTTGAGAACGTCTCTGGAAGACACTTAAATTCTCGGACTCTTCTTTTTCCTTAATGAATTCTATCCCAACTAAAAATTTGAAGAAGAAAAATAAAATGAAAATGGGCCTTCGTGGATTCAAAACAGGGTTACAGGGAGCTTACGGTCCATACATGTAGCTAACCTCACTATCCACTAGGCTAACTGTGGCAGCTCTACAACAGCCATTCTTTCAAAGCTTCAATGTCTTGTAACTAGTTGACGACATGTATGTACGTAATAGTGATAGAGTGACGTCATTTTTTTTGGTCATGAATAAACATGCCGGTACCGGTACATGTAACTTAATAAAAAAATTAATTAAAAAAATCCATCTTATGAATAGTTAATGTGGTACCCGCTGCTATGTACATCAGATTCGAACCAGCCAACTGATCCTGTTAGCTCGGTGGTCGAGTGGTAAGACATCTGCACTAGAAAGCAGGACGTTATGGGTTCGAGTCCCACCCGAGTGATTTTTTCCAACTTTCACTCGGGAGGTAACACACTGAGTATTCAGTATTTATACGTCGGTGAAGGGCAAAACCTAGTTTGATTTACATGTAACTTTTCCATCGAAACTACTGAACATGGGTTCTGTGAGAGACATACTCAAAGAAGGAAGTATTGATCTGCTTGTGCAACCATAAACTCAAGATTATTAAAATCGCATGACCCATAAAATTTGACCAATTAGTTTGTCAGATTTCAGCAAATGTTGGCCGACTCAAGCCTCCCTAAAATAAACTGCTCTGTATTGCATACGATGACACACCATTTCCAGTCCTCTGATTTCACAGATGTCTTAATTGGCTTAGTGTTGTGAGAACAATGGATAAACTGGTTCAATAATATAAATGTGGCAACAAGGACGCATGCAGAAGCTAATAAAAACAATACCATCTGGTTGCGTTACATGTAGAAGACAACATTGCAGCAACGCTTTGTAAAACTTTCCCGGATTACAAAATGTTGCTGGCTAATTTGAGTCTGCCCTAATGCAATCTCGTTACATTCTTTCTAAGCCGCAAAGTCTGACAAGCATTATTGTCTGTGTCAGCATTGTTTGTTGATCCTTTCTCCTGATTACAATACCTCCCTCTTCACATTTGTTTGCAGCAGACAAGCGTTAATTGGCTAATGCTTTTAAGCTGTCCACTTGTGAGAGTGGCTGAGTATTGATTTGTACTTGTTCCAGGGATTAAGACAATTAATTAGCGAGTGGGTGGGCGGCAGGAAAGCTGTCTTGGAGAAAATGGTTACGATTTGCTTGGATGCGACGCATTTTGTGTGATAATGTATTATGCATGTATTTGTGTTCCCCCCCCCCCTTAAAGGGAATATACATCATTTGCTTTTGCTGTAATTTTCAGAAATGGATGGAATTGGGGGGTTGGAAATGTATAGCAAATATAGATACACTGACTTTTTTTAGGTTTTGGGTTCGAAAATGCTATAAAAACCAAGAAAAACAATCATTTTCCTGTAGTCTGATTCCCTGACTCCATATAAGAAGAAACAGAGCAGTTTACATACATTGGGGAATTGTAAGGTCAGGGAACCAGTCTAGCTGGCTTGTACCCGTTCATAGGTGTGTAATCGATTGCAAACAAGTGCGATGGTCAATTGGGGCCAGTATTTGAAAAAAAAGCCAGTTTTTTTCCAACGCTGGTCGGCCGACCAGCGTTGGAAATTGATACAAAAATACCACTTTTCTTGAAAATGACAGTATACCAGGTGCCATGATTTTACAGGATGCTTTACACTGTCATTCACTAACAGTCCAGCAAGGTATTTCAAAGTGATTTGGTAGTTTTATTTTTTGATGTTTGCAAATGTTGTATTTTCCCTTTAATATTGAAATTGATACATGCTATCAGAAATTCCGGTACAGTGTATGCATGTTTTACTACAAGAACCTATTTTTATGGCTGTTCATGGAATGCCATTGGAAGCTATTGAGCTGAGTGAGAATTACTGATTACTCTTTAGGCATTCAAACACAAATGAGATTGTAATCATTTGAGTCAAGACTTAAATAATATTTTTAAAGTCAGATTTTGTGTTTTGAATATTAGGAACAAGTCAACTCTTTTTTTTCTCTGAAATATTGACGGCGATTTTTGTCTGTTTTCCTTTGCACTTTTTTGTTCATTCATGGACATGATGGAGGTTGCAAAACGTCCATGTTTCACGGTATTTAATTGATTATTCATCAGTTCACAGAACGGTAATTGATCAGTGGTGGACACTGGACAACTGAACTTTGTGATCCTTTGACTAAAATTCACATGAGAATAGAGTATGCAAATTACGTGAAATTTTCACAGTTACTAGTCAATAACATGTACTTTATCCCTAAGTTATTTTTATGAAATGGGGCAAGCCACATATTTCAAAATAATATATTTTTTCTAATTCGGTCACTTTTTTTTTGACTCACCCTGTAGAAGTTGAAAAGACGTCTCCTACAATGTATTGATTTGTCATGATCTAGGGTTTTGAGAGAAACCAATTACATGTAAGCACTCTTTGAACAGCATAGTCTGTACGATTTCAGCAGAAAAAAATGTTAAGTTAAAATAATAGCAAGAGTCTATCATTTTCGCGTGCTGCTCTGCTCCAGTAAGGAACCGAATAGCATCATGTATTATAAGAACTTGCACAAAATTTTTCAATGTGGTACTGAAAATTAGCTTCATCTCCAAACATTTTTTTTTACCATTTAGCACTTGTAATACTTTGTATTACATTGTATTTCCCTGATGAGTCAAGAAAAAAAAATGGCCAAGACTGGTACGCACCTTTTTGTTGCCAGGGAATTTCTCAATCATTTACTACGGTTGCACAATGTTTTTACATATATAATAATCTTGTTTATCCTGCTATTTCAAGTTCACTTTAGACAAGGTTGTACTTGTTTTTAATGCACCAACTATTAAAAGAAACACATCATGTCAGGGTTTTAGCATTTGCACAGTTCACTGGCCCAGAATGGACAAAAAAAACAACCTTTCTCATATAAGCAGTGTTTTTTTTTAATCAAGCGTACATTTCAACCGCGGATCGAGTGCGATACATCTATGGTTTCTTGAATTCCACACGGTCGCTGCTTTGAAGTCTTGAGTGCCGAGCTGCACTTTGCCCATCTAGTCTTTAGTATTTCAGGCCGGATTGGATAACACGGGTCATGGCTTCAAAGCCCCGTCCTACTTTTTCATCTCGGAGTGAGGGACTGCGTGAATTCCTAAGATACCCCCATAAAATTGGAATTCATGCCTGGTTTTATTGGGGAAAAGGGAGGGGCTTAGTTGAGGTCATCATGAGACTCTTAGGGAGGGAGGATTTTAACTCTTGCTGCCAATAATACTGTTGCGATAAAATAGCGCCCTCGGTTTTGAGCTGGTGGCAGGCATATCCTGCGTGTCATAGTTCCCTGTATCATTTAATATTTAGTAGTATTGTAACACTATAATACGTAGTAAAGAAATTGCATGGTGGTTTACTGAAAATTGATAAAGATAATATTTATAATGACATCCATAATGTTATTGCATGTATTTTATTTTGTATTGAATACTTTAATAAATATAGTAATATGCAAACAAATATTTTCTGTTCAAAGACACTATGTCTTTGTACGTTGTTGAAAATAGATGGGATTGATATGATAAACACATTTCCAGTTTTGTAACATTCCCTCAGCAACGGATATGTAGGCCCTACATGTTACGTGAATACTAGTAATTCTGTAATTAAGAAAGAAAAGTCGCTGATTGGCGAAAGCCAAAGTTGCCAGGTACTACATGTAGTTGGTGATAGAATCTGGCTTTCTACATTCAGTGTTTTCAAATTGTCAGTCGAACCACAATCACATGACTTCTAAACTGAAGAGATCCTTTTCAGTTCCAATTGTCATTAAAAACGACGATAGGTTCGATGTCGAGGCTGTACAAGCTATTACAAGTTTAAGCGCCCTTGAAACAAAGACATTGATAAAATGGGGAGCCGCCAACATAGGGCTGTATAGCTCGGTTGGTAGAGTCGGAGGTTGCAGGTTCAAACCCCGCTCCAGTCTTTTTCTTTGTTCAACTTTAAATTTCAAACAGTTTGGCGTCCCAAAGGGTTTAAGCAATAACTGTTCCATCTCTGTGTGGATTTATCTTGTAGCTCTACGACAAGATCAACACCAAGTCCAGCGAGCAGATGCCTAACAAGAAGGACATCCCTTCAGACAGCGTCCAGAGATCCAAAGACGTAAGTAACAAACCTTCCCGCAAAACAGTCATATCTCTCCCCCCCCCCCCCCCCTTTTGGACCAGGGGGGATGGGCTATTGAATCATCCCCCACTTTTTCGTGATGCGAAAACAATACGGATTTCAAGGTAGTTTTGAACATCCCAACAACAAAAATGTATTCAGTAGCATTGTAAAGTGGAGAAACAAAGTACAAAAGCTTTTAAAATGTGCCGTTTGGATGGAAGCAGGAGTATACATATTGATATACATCTATATCCTGAAGAGCGCCCCCTAGTGTAAAGTGGTGTGTCCCCCCCCCCCCCTCAAATTTCCATGGCTGGGCAATTCTTGGATTTTGGTCATCCCCCATCTCCCCCCCCCCCCCCACCCCACTCGCCGGCACAGATTTACGCCACTGGGTACAACACTCGCCACGTTGTTCCAAACAGGTGGTGAATTTGGCATGAGAAATCTAAAACACCAAATATTTTTTGGTCACATCTATGATAAAAAAATGCATCCATCCCTTTTATTTGAGAACAGTGTCTCACAGGCCAACTGCATACCGCCCTCTCTTGAAAATTGATCCCCACTCCGGTGATTTTGACCCTGAAACCGCAAGATTTGCATTTTGCTACTGTTCCCCTCCCCCCCCCCCCCTTCTCTAATCTAATTACTTTCGTCCCCGGCTTTGGCGCGTGCAATGATTCATTGCAGTTGCCACATTATGACGTCCATAGGCATGTATCTTTTGAACCCAATTTGCCATATTGCGGGCGTAAAACCACATCAGTGGGGTAACAGGCCCAAATTGCCACCGTAGTTCATTTCTTGCAGGTGGGTCGACGATGATCAGGGTTATTTTTAGAACTCAACAGAGCCGTGTGGTGTGTGTTTCAGGTTAATGCTGCCCTCTGTTGTTCATTGTCTATGGAGTGATTTATGTTGTAATACTGTAAGGGACGGTAGACTAAAAAAAAAATTGAGGGGGGGGGGACGGTCGGCCACATTGTTATTGCTGTAAGTTCCTTTGATAAATGGCCTATTGTAGAATTTTCAAATAAACACTTAATAGTTTCTTGGGTTTGTTTTTTGTTGTGGGGGTGTTTTGTTGTTGGTGCGTTTTGTTTATTTTTGTTGTTTGTTTTTGCACAAAGTTGAAACTTGAGAAGTCATTACTTTGATCTACCGGGTATTTTGCTTCCAAATGTAAATTTTACCTTCTAATGACTTCCAAAATTATCAAAAATTCTCTAAAACCAAATCAATTCCTCCCCCTCCGCTGGCTCAATTTTTTTTTTACAGTATGCACAAGCAAAATTATTAGCAACCCTTCTCAGAAATTTGATTACAAAATCGATTAATTATTGACAACACTTGATGCCCAAAGTCTTACAATCTGTCAATTTCATGACCTTCCAATCAAACTGCAGTGTACCTTTTGGCTCAAAATTTAGTAGCATACATTTCATGTTAATTAGCTCAGTCAGAGCCGATTCTAAAGTGGCGTGCATCCTACACAGTGAAGAATGTATCCACCCCTATCATTAGCACCCTAATTAACCAGATTGGCACCCTGATTGGAAAGACAATGGATAACGAGGGGAGTGCCCAATTGAAGTTCCATCATCCATTAAATGACCTGATCGGTGCTTTACCAGAGAATGACAATTCTCTCTGTTAATTATCCTTCTCATTACTTGTAATGAAGTGACTTCTTTAGCGATCCATATGGGGGTTGCGCTTTTATTTTTTGTAATGCAATAATTAGAAAATTAATCTTTGTGTCCCATTTAAACCGTTACCTTTTCAATTTTTGTTTGCCATTTTTAAGGGTACATGTATTTTGGTGCCTTTTTGGTTTTTATGTTATGCAAATGTCTATATTCATTGGAAAAAGTGTGATGTCATTTCAAGCGAAAACCTCAATGTTAAAGCTATTTCAGCACCAAAACTTTCCAGATTTTTTGATATTTTCTTTGGTGATTTGTTGTGTCAGTACTGGCAGTAAGCCAATGAGCAAACTTTTGTCACAAATGTTTTAAATGAGCAAACTTTTGGGTTCACAATTTGATGAGTAAAAAACTCATAAACTGAACAGTGTCTTCTTGAAATGACATCACAGCAACAACACCCTCAGTTGTCCAGAAAAGCATGGACAATTTTAAATGTTTTAAAGAAGTGCACTTTTCAATCAAAATTAACCAAAAAGGGATGTCTCATAGCTTTCATACATTTCAGAGGAATGGAGATTTGCTACAAATATGCACACGTGTAAACTTCATCTCATGGGCATGATGGACCTTTTAAAGGGAAAATACAACATTTGCAAACATCAAAAAATAAAACTACCAAATCATTTTGAAATACCTTGCTGGACTGTTAGTGAATGACAGTGTAAAGCATCCTGTAAAATCATGGCACCTGGTATACTGTCATTTTCAAGAAAAGTGGTATTTTTGTATCAATTTCCAACGCTGATCGGCCGATCAGCGTTGGAAAAAACTGGCTTTTTTTTCAAATACTGGCCCCAATTGACCATCGTACTTGTTTGCAATCGATTACAAACCTATGAACGGGTACGAGCCAGCTAGACTGGTTCCCTGACCTTACAATTCCCCAATGTATGTAAACTGCTCTGTTTCTTCTTATATGGAGTCAGGGAACCAGACTATAGGAAAATGATTGTTTTTCTTGGTTTTTATAGCATTTTCGAACCCAAAACCTCAAAAAAGTCAGTGTAACTATATTTGCTATATATTTCCAACCCCCCAATTCCATCCATTTCTGAAAATTACAGTAAAAGCAAATGATGTATATTCCCTTTAATTAGCTCAGTCAGAGCCTATTCTAAAGTGGCGTGCATCCAACACAGTGAAGAATGTATCCACCTCTATCATTAGCACCCTAATTAACCAGATCGGCAGCCTGATTGGAGAGACAATGGATAACAAGGGGAGTGCCCAATTGAAGTTCCATCATCCATTAAATGACCTGATGGGTGCTTTACCAGAGAATGACATTTCTCTCTGTTAATTATCCTTCTCATTACTTGTAATGAAGTGACTTCTTTAGCGATCCATATGGGTGGGGGTTGCGCATATATTTTTTTGTAATGCAGTAATTAGAAAATTAATCTTTGTGTCCCATTTAAACCATTAACTTTTCAATTTTTGTTTGCCATTTTTAATAGTATTTTGGTGCCTTTTTGGTTTTTATGTTATGCAAATGTCTATATTCATGATATAAAGTGTGATGTCATTTCAAGCGGAAACCTCAATGTTAAATCTATTTCAGCACCAAAACTTTCCGGAATTTTTAAATATTTTCTTTGGTGATCTGTTGTGTCAGTACTGGCAGTAAGCCAATGAGCAAACTTTTCTCAAAAATGTTTTCAATGAGCAAATTTTTGGGTGCACAATTTGATGAGTAAAAAAACTCCTAAACTGAACAGTGTCTTCCTGAAATGACATCACAAGCAACAACACCCTCAGTTGTCCAGAAAAGCAAGGACAATTTTAAATGTTTTAAAGAAGTGCACTTTTCAATCAAAATTAACCAAAAAGGGATGTCTCATAGCTTTCATACATTTCAGAGGAATGGAGATTTGCTACAAATATGCACACGTGTAAACTTCATCTCATGGGCATGATGGACCTTTTAAAGGGAAAATACAACATTTGCAAACATCAAAAAAAAAAACTACCAAATCATTTTGAAATACCTTGCTGGACTGTTAGTGAATGACAGTGTAAAGCATCCTGTAAAATCATGGCACCTGGTATACTGTCATTTTCAAGAAAAGTGGTATTTTTGTATCAATTTCCAACGCTGATGGGCCGACCAGTGTTGGAAAAAACTGGCTTTTTTTCAAATACTGGCCCCAGTTGACCATCGCTCTTGTTTGCAATCGATTACACACCTATGAACGGGTACAAGCCAGCTAGACTGGTTCCCTGACCTTACAAAAAAGTCAGTGTAACTATATTTGCTATATATTTCCAACCCCCCAATTCCATCCATTTCTGAAAATTACAGCAAAAGCAAATGATGTACATTCCCTTTAAGCAGTAATCACTCCCACTGTTCTCTTGATTAGTTTCCTTCTGTGATGGATGGCTTTAATGAATCTCTTTAACATTACTTTTAACGTAAATTGAGTGGGACAGGCCGCTTGGCAGTGTTACCTTGGAAGTGCCTGTAGTGATTATGAAGATGTGATACATAGAAGTAGTAGATGGAGATTTGGTATTAAAACGAGGTTGGCCGTTATTGCACAAAGTGTCATGCTGACATTTAGTGCCGGTACATTTTTGTAAATTGAAGAAACGTGTTGGACATTGAAATTTTTGTACACGAACTATGTACATGTATGCATGTACATTTATAGTGATTTTTTCAAATTAGGGGAATTTTCATCAGTATTAAATGATTTTATGATATGATCAGATACAATTTTATCATCGGTATCATGTCGAGATACTGTTTTTATTGGGAAGTGGAAAACTGAAGAATATAACGTCTTAAATTTTCTGACTGTTTTAAATTCACGAGGGGAGCTGAATATCTTTTAACACCAGTCAGGTATTTATTGGACGAATTTGTACATAAACAGGCACATACATGTATATCTTCATTACCAAGCGTAATTAGGCCATTTTCCAGCATTTTTTAGTGTTCAATTTCTCTATACAGTTTTTAAGGGGAAAAAACTGGTGATGATCTCCCTTTTTCCCTCATCCCCCAAAAAATTGCGAGAGGTTTTTAAACATAGGGTTTAACATAATTATGCAAAGTAAATCAAGGCTTTTAAAAATCCCATCGCATTATCCCCTAATTTTGTTTCATAGTGAGTAGAGAAAAAAAAAATCAATTGGGATTTGTAGTGTAATGAGTGAATCCAGCATTTTCGTCCCTGGCAAAGTAAGAGCCAAAATCCAAATTGGAAAGCAAATCCCCCGCCAGGTGAACTGTGAGCCATTGGGGGTTTATATCAGAGACAGGTGCTGAATATAGCACTGACTACCACAGGTTACTGTATATATTAATATCTAATTGTTGGCTAGGAGTGCTCTAGCAAGCTTTCCATTAGGCCCAAAAAAAAAAGTCTCCGGTTTCTGGTATGGAGCTTGCCCAAAAAGTGGTGTGGCGACGCGGCGTTTTTTTTTTTTTTACCTGATTTTTTTGCTTCAAATGTCGGCTGATGACTGCAAATGGTGCCCGACTAAACTTCGTGCAAATATATGGGAGTCCAGGGAGGCCACATATAAAGCTTATTCTCGACCATAACCCAATCTAAAAACACGTTAAAATTGTGCAGCAGCAGGATTCCAGTCAAACCAGTGAGTTTGGCGGTTTTGAGACATCATCTTTCATTGAAAAAATACCTTTTTCATTTTGCCGACGCGCATGGCTACAGCGACGCGCGCGCATACCAGAAACCGGAGACTTTTTTTTTAGCCTTAGAGTGTAGACGATGGATCCACTTCAATTGAATGAATTCAAATAGATGGTTTCTAGTATTTAGTCGAAGGGGAGGGAGGGGGATTCTGCCCCCCCCCCCCCAAGATCTCGGCGATCGAGTGATGAAAAATTTTGAAACTCGGTATATGCATAGAGCAACTCATCTAGAGCATATCCAAGAAATCTCATGACAATAGGTCGAAGGGTTTTGGAATTACGGCTAATTAATTATTCATATGTACAAATGGTAATTGTGCTCTGTGTGCACTATGTATATGGGAAAGTCAGTTTTTTTTTTATTGCTGCGCGGCAACCTGGTCCGATTTTTATGTTTTTGGTATCAAAAGATGCGCAAGGCTCGAGGCTATAAAGTCGTAACAGCTCGGGTCACGAAAAAAATTTTTTCAAGGCTATTGCGGAAAAAGTTGAGGGGGGGGGGGGCAGATTCCCCCCCTCCCCCTTCAGGGTTAAGTGTGTGTTTACATCAATGCGCTAACCATCGCATGAATCAGAACAAAGACAGATGACATCACACTACGGTACTCTATTGAAGAAAAAAAAACAACATCAACAGATAAAGTTCAGCAAATGAATTCAGCCAGAAAATCAAGTTTATTGTAAAAATGTACTAAAACAATTCGAAACTGTTATTTTAGTATTAAAGGGGCACTAGGTCCTGAAATCCCCGAAAATGTTATGTTTTGGATTGTTTACTCAGCCTATTTCAAACATCTGGTTGAAAGGAAACCAACCTACGGTAATGTCTTACTGTTCCCGAGAAAAGACGGAAAAAACCCGCTTGTTTACATCGGACATGACGGAGTACGAATACGTTTTTCGTGTTGTTCTCATGTACGCTATACACGTTGTGTGTCTCAGGAACAGCGCGCGGTGACCAATCACCAATGCAAAAAATTGTGGTTTCTTCAACGTCCGCAAAAGGCGAACACTTTACGCGTACGAATGAAATCACAACTAGCATCCAAACAGCTCGAATTTATGGGGTCGCAAAAGTGAACCCCGAAATTTGTTCTCGCACGCAATAATACAGGAATAACACAAAAACGCTCAGTTTTGAAAGGATAGTTGTGTGGATGTTTATATCCTACTTTTAAAAGTTATTTCCGATTATCATCATCTCGTTCAAAGCACGTTTGTGTCCCTTTAAGAGAAAGTACATTTTGTGTGGTTCAGTATGAGACACTGAGAAGAGAATGATTGCATGCTTTTCGTCTTCATGTCAGCAGATATTGGAGTTGCTACAGAGGAGCCCTCAAGACAGCCAAGAAAGCTATGAACTCCAGGCTATCCTCGCAGAACCGCACTTCAGGGTAAGTACCATAACATTGACAAAACAAGTTGAAGGTACCAGTCCTGATTTGAGGCATGCGATCACACCCCCACACCATCGCACACCTAAAAGCTTCTCGAGAAGTGTGAATAATTGCACGCCTGAATTTCCCTGGACCACAGATCACACACCTAGAAAACCACACACCCAGAAAAAACACACACCTAGAAAAATCCAGGTGTGCCTTTTTCCACACGCCTGTGATTTTCAAATCAAAAGGACTGAGGTACAGTCCGTCATTTGTAATTTGTGCATTTTGTTCGTTTGAAGCAGCAAACGTGCTCAAAATCTAAAGAAGGGTGCTGAACGACTAACCTGATGAAGTTTCAGCTCAGCTTCAGCTGTATATTTCGAGAGTAACAACATTCAAGGATCTCGATTTCAAATAAAAAGTTGCCAAATCATGTTTTGAATTGGGCCTGAATTCAGCGTCCGAGACACGTTCTCATTGAGCTGATTGCAGCTACGCGATGTCTCGCACTGAACCGATTAATTATAGCAACCGCACGCACTTGTGCGTCGTGTCAAGGCTTGCAAAATTCAATGTTTTAAAGTTCTCCCCTGTACAATTTTAGAGTTTCACTCTGAACAGATTTTGTTTTTAAAGGTAGAGTAGATCATTTGCAGCTATCCAAAAAGTAACTGACAAAATTATTGTTCAAAAAACTTACCCAGTTTAAAGATATAATGGCAATAAACTCCCTGCGATATTAGTCTTTCTGGCATGCTGTCCTTTTGAAGAAAACAATAAAAGAAGGCCATTTCCAAAGTGACATTTTCAGGGGGATATTTTCAGAGCGTTGAAAACGTCCAAAATATGAAAAAATAGTTTTTCCGTTGAAATAAAACATACAAATTAAACTTAGGAGAAAAAAATATGTTAAAAAGCTTGGGTAAAACAATTTATCATAGTTTGAATCTAAAGAGACTATAGTGACAGTTACACACTTCACAATCAACCATTTAAATGAAAATGAAAATCTACGCTTGAGGTAATGAGGCGGAGAAAGCTTAGCGTACTGGTATGTCACAAATACCGTTCTATTCACATCACCTAGGATTGCCCGGTATCCAACGATATTCTGTAAAGTCTCCCTCGATGAAACGACCGCTCGATTATTCTATAAAATGTCTCCCCTCGCGACCCTCTGCCTGAGTATTCCTTAAGCCAACACAATTACATCAGTGGCGCCCACGGGCAAATAGAAAGAGGAAAAAAATATCTGCAAATAGAATCACGGGACCAGATTTTGGCTGGTGCTTGTTTGAGACACACATATATACATGGACAACATACTGGCCTTCTGTGCATGGATTTAGCAATAATGCAATATGATGTGAATACCGCCCAGTGTGTACAATGTGTATTTATTGTATAAATGCGTATTTTCAAAGGCTAAATTTGTTTTTTAAATGCCCAATTTGTTTGAATAATGTGCTTGTAAAGAAATGATATTCTAACCATTTAAATTTGAAAAGGCCATCCAAAAAACCCCTAAAGACCCCTCTGGAAAAGTCAGAGCGTCAGAACATGACTTCTATGAAATCATGAGGTTTTTTTAAAAATGAATAAGGTGAGAAATACATCATGACATTTTTCTTGTACCGATACATGTACATGTTGCCGGTACATCACACTCACAAGTAGGCCTACAAGTAAGATAACTTTGGGACAAAAATATTCATTCTCTGAGCCCAAGTCATTCAAGTCACAGCACCCAAGCACACTTCTCATTGGCCAAGCCATATCCTCTGATTTGCATATTCATACAATGTAGCCTATCCCCCTGCCCCCTACATCACACATGTGCTGTTGGATGGGAAACTGGCAGAATAGACAAGCTATGCATATTCATGCTCTGAGCCTAAAGTCACTCAAGTCACAGCACTCATCCCACTTCCCATTGGCCAAGCAATATCCCTTACCCACTGCATATTCATAGCCTTGACCCCTTCACCCTATACCAACTGACTGGGGAGGAGCATGGGATGTGACATGTTTTAATTTGCCGGTCAGACCAGACTGGCTCACAGACATTGGTTTATGAGTCAGCCGGCCAGCCAGCAGCCAGCCAGACACTGTGGTCTGTAGTTGGTTCATAGTATTGGATATACTCGTAGGGTATCGCTAGCGGCCTAGCTACATATGGTCTGTGTACTAACAAGCCAGTCATCCTCATAGGGGTAAGCCGTACTTCCTTTCCAGTTCCATTTATAGAAACCACCTATTTTTTGTGTGAATGAAGTATGTAAAGAATATCGTCAGTTTAACATTTATCAGTCGGGAAAAAATCTTACCAAGTTACCTTTTTAATTTATAGATGTTGTACAACTCTGGAAAAGATGAAAGCCTTTATAATTATAGTGATGTCCACATCTGTGGACATCTATTTTGTTGTGGACAACTAACGTCTACTATTAAATTTGAGCAAGATGTATAACTACTAGAGACTTGATCTAATATTAGTCTCCTCATTTAAACAGGATTTATAACTGCTAGAGACTTGATCTTTATTAGTCTCCTCATAAAAATGCAGAGAAATTTGTCTGATGTACTATGCCAGATTTAAAATACATTATAAAAATATAAAGTATATGAAGAAAGAAGGCAAATTAAACACGAAACGTCGACCAGAAACCATGATTTTTAACACAAATAAACTGACGAAATTACCGTGTACTTCGGTCATGGATATGAACAGCGCCCTCATAACATTCTGAGTAAACCTGTGTGTGTGAGAGTGTGTGCAAGTTCTAAACTTCAAGTCATGCAGAATAAACATTTTTTAATTTTTTTTTACTAATTATTTACTTATTATTATTTTTTGCTGGGACGTGTTTGTGGACACAGATACTAATGCGAATTCTATGCACTCAAATGTGAAAAATTGATCTGAAATATGAAATTTGAACAATAGGTGGGGGCGGACATCCGGAATTTTTTTTACATTGGCTTATCTAGCTCCCAGACCTACCCGGTATGTTCTTGAAACTCAATGGTTCTTGAGTCTGGAGTGCTGAATGGTAACACAGAGTAACCGATGAAAAGTGGTGTGCAAATGACATAAACGTTTTCATGGGATGACATCACTCTGGCTCAATCTACAAACATGTATTACAAATACAGGAATTTAATTAACCCTAACCGCCCTGAATCCTCCAAAATCCTTTTTGCAAATTGGAGGAATTTGCAGGATTGAGGTTACATGGCAAAAGTGGGTTGCTGATTTCGGAGTACGCACTGTGTCAAGGTCTTGGGCCCAACCTTATGTTGTTTATGCTCAGCCGTGCATAAATGTAGTCCTTGATTATACTTGACATCCTCCGCACTGCTCCAAGATGTCACTGCCTCTGCCTCAGCCTATTGACAGTCATAGCCGGAGGATTTTGCAGGATTCAGGCAGTGGTCACCCCTCCATGGACCATATTCAAGAAATAGCGGAGGAATTTGCAGGATTGAGGCTATATGCTATTTTTCCATGAGGCCAATTGGAGGATTTTGCAGGATTGAGGCTACTTCCTAGCAAAAAGGCCTAGGGAGTTAGGGTTTTAAAGTGCTATAATTAGCACAACAAAAAAAAATAGCTCATAAAACAATAGCCTGACAATCTTCCGGTCCATATCGCATGCTATACTTGAAATCCTAGATGCTGTATTTCCCCCAATTTGTTATGCTCCACGCTGATTATTTTTGTTTCCTAATCAAAGAAAACAGATATGATATCCGAGGGCAGGTTAGTTACATGTAGCAGCGGGTGTAGGCCGGCGGTGGGCGCGGTGGACTTGCAAATCCCATCCCCCGACATCATATCGAGCCGGGGTCCAAGACTCGAATTGATTTTCCAATAAATGGACTGGCCTTAACATTTGCATTCTTCATAACTGGGAAGGGGAGCTCGTACAGATCCTAATCAGAGAGGCCGGCACATCACCTCGAAACATCCTGTCAGTTTTCATCAAGGAGAAAATGCGTTATTTCGCCAGTGGTCTTTGACGTGTTTTTTACCGTCATGTGGTGATCGGTTTTGCACAACACAGCATTGATATGGCAGATGTACAATGGTTGTTTAACCAAGGCCGTTACCGGTACGCACAAAAATGCACTCAAATTTGCTGAGCCCAGAGAATATTAGCTTATTTATATTTGACATTTTTGTCATCGTGTGATGATTGCATTTGCAGAACACAGCTCACTTGATGTACATGTACTATACCAGAAGTGTGAAACTAGTGCCAATTTAAAGGCATGTACATACGTTTGATTATTTGCTTTTCATGCATTTTGTTCATTTCCAACAATAACACTAAGCTCAAAATCCAAAGAAGAATGTTCAAAACCTAACCTGATAATATGCTCAATGTACATGTACACTTTGAGAAAACAGTGGAAAACCATGCACAATCGTTTGATCACGAAACACAATTTTGACGATACGGTAGCTCTCTTCATTCCAAAAATCAGTCCATTCACATGGACCATTTTACATTTCCTGATTTCTTCTAAGTGACAGCAGTAAGTTTTTGGATAGTAAGTCAGTAGGTTACTTTTCCTAAGCAAAAAAAACCAGGATACCAGCCAAGATGTCATGTGATGCGTATTGCTTGCGGCTGGTTTCTAACGTTGTTGCGCTTAGCGAAACAATTTGTCAAGCAATAATTTCAAATTCCCAACTAAATGAAATGAGCCCTGTTTTATTTTCTTCATGCTACATCCATTGCAATGTTTGTTATCAGGTTTACTACGTACCATACTGTACTGCCACCACCTTGGTCAAGTTATAATTATGTAATCTTCATTCGATTAGCAATGAATTGTATACCCCTGTGAACCATAAACATGGATTTTAATTGGCTTTAAAAGAGTCAATTTCTTTGCACGTCATTTAAAAGCAAATTTGCTTTTGTCCACTGTAGTGTAATGAGAGCAGCAAAAAAGGGAAGGGTGTGTTGTAGAGAGAGGTTTTGAACATGACATCCCAA